AGGTGCAACCAGGCATGTGTGTTCCATTACTAATATTTTTGAAAATCTGAGAATTATTGATGGCTCTAATGTGACATTACCTGATCACACGCAGATTCCAGTCAGATTGTGTGATGTTGTCAAATTAAGTTAAAAAATTACATTGCGTGATGTGTTATTTGTGTCTCAATTCAAGTTCAACCTATTATCAGTTAGTGCCTTGGCTGTTGATTCACAACTCTCATTTAGTTTCTTTCATGATGGATTCATCATCCAGGAAGTCAAGACCAAGAAGGTGACTGGGAAGGGTGATCAACTGCAGGACTTTTATGTCCTTGACACTAGAGTCTTAAATTCTATTTCCAGTTCTTTTGTTAACAATGTATTTGTGAATGTGTGGCAAAATAGACTCGGTCATCTTTCTTTTAAAAGATTGGACTACTTAAAGAGTCAATTGATGTGTGATTTTACAAAGATGAATAAAGATAAGCCTTGTTATATTTGTCCTCTAGCCAAACATAGGAGATTATCCTTTGAATCACACAATAGATTATCAGCTAACCCTTTTGATTTGGTACATTGTGACATTTGGGGGCCTTATCGTGTTACATCACACTCAGGATACAATTATTTTCTAACTTTGGTGGATGATTGTTCAAGGTTTACATGACTTTATCTCTTAAAAAACAAATTTGATGCTAAGGGAGTTATTCCCAGATTCTTCAAAATGATTGATACTCAGTTTAATGCCAAAATAAGGGTGTTCAGGTCTGATAATGCAAGTGAATTAGGATTTACTGATTTTTTTGCTGAAAGAGGAGTGCTGCATCAATTCAATTGTGTGGAACGGCCACAGCAGAACTCTGTGGTTGAACGCAAATATCAGCATTTGCTGAATGTGGCTAGGTCATTGTACTTCCAATTACGGGTTCCCATCAGGTTTTGGTCTGAATGTGTTCTGGTGGCTACCTTCCTGATTAATAGAACCCCTTCCCCCATTTTAAAGCATCAGACACCATTTGAAGTGCTGTACGAAAAGGCTACAGATTACTCTGCACTTAGAGTCTTTGGATGATTGGCATTTGCATCTTCATTGACTGCAAGTAGGAACAAGTTTCAGCCACGTGCTCGAGTTTGTATTTTCCTGGGGTATCCCTCTGGGGTGAAAGGTTACAAGCTCTATGATGTAAAGTCTAAGCAAATTTTCTTGTCACGAGATATTGTCTTCCATGAAAATATTTTTCCTTTTCACACAGTCTTAGAACCTGACCATTTGGTAGATCCATTACCTGACTTAGTCTTGCCTCTACCTTCACTGATTTATCCTCAAGACTCAGCCACATCTTCAACTCCGCATAGATTACCATCTATCCCATCTCTTGAGACTCACATTTTACCTCGAATTGAGTCTCCATCTCGTGCACCATCTAATGAACCTCACATTTCTCCTTTTCTGAGTCTTTGCCTTCTGTATCATCATCTCCTGATGCAACTTTAGATACCAATAATCGTGTTCATCATCACAACCCCTTCACTGAAACCATTTCCACATACAATATTCCATCCGTTCCCACACACCACTCTCAAAGAGCCTCTAAACCTCCACAGTATCTAAGGGATTATCATTAATGTAATCTCATCTCTCAGAAATTCCTCCTTGTTGCTGAGTACCCTCACCACCTTCAACATTATATTTCCTATGACAATCTATCTCCAGCACATAAATAATTTGTTCTGAACATCTCCTTTCAATTTGAACCTCAATTCTTTCATCAAGCAGTCAAATATCCACAATGGCAAGAAGCCATGAAAGCTGAGTTAGAAGCCATGGAACTCAATAATACTTGATCAGTGGTGCCTTTACCAGTGGGTAAACACTCTGTTGGATGTCGATAGGTTTTAAAAAACAAATACAAGTCTGATGGTTCAGTTGAACGTCACAAAGCACGATTGGTGGCTAAGGGGTTTACACACCAGGAAGGCCTCGACTATTTTGACACGTTTTCACCAGTTACAAAGTTGTTACTGTCAAAGTTTTGCTGGCTCTTGCAGCTTGTTCTAAATGGCTTTTGGTTCAACTCGATGTCGTCAATGTCTTTTTGAATGGCGACTTATTTGAAGAGATTTACATGGACCTTCCACTTAGTTATCATGTTCCCAAAAATACAAGGCAGGGGAAGAAGCTTGTTTGCAGATTACATAAGTCTCTTTATGTTCTAAAACAAGCGTCAAGATAGTGGAACTCTAAGTTTACTCGGGCTCTTCTTCAATATGGTTTTCAGCAATCAAAAGCTGATTATTCTCTGTTCGCCAAAGGCTCTGGGAGTGAATTTATTGCCTTACTTGTGTATGTTGATGACATTGTCATCAATGGTCCCAATTCTCACATCATTGCCACATTGAAAACGTTCTTGCATTCTCAGTTCAAAATTAGAGACCTGGGAGTTTTAAAATATTTTTTAGGCATTGAAGTTACACGTTCTCCATCTGGCATTACCATCTAACATAGGTAATACATGGAACACTATTCAGCACATGCTACAATCTGGTGTGAACTTTGATAAACTTATTATATTTGAGTTTAATTGTAGACATATTTTGTTCCTAATTTTGATTTAATCGATACTAATTGGTTAATTTCTTTTGAGATCTTGAAATTTTTGAAGGTTTTCTATACGATGCGACCAATGTTAGCGTTTAAATTCCTACTGCTCCAACTGGTTTAACGTATTTTTAGTATATTGCGAAAAGTTTTAGTAAATATAAAAGTAGGTAATTTTTTCTAACATAATTGATACCATTGAGACAAAATTTTGAAAATATTGGGATAATTGTCCACACTTCCCTTCAGTTACAGTGATAGACCCTCGTATTAATTTAGAGCCCACTAAAGGTATTGGAAACTATTAATTATTTATATTTAATATATATCCCGATTACAAATTGCGATTTACAAAATACTTGTGTAACTTGTACAACCAATATTCTTCCAAATAAGGTAACAACTCTCCACCAAAAGTTTCAAGGAGTATGGACAACAATTTATGGTCTTACTATTTCAATCAAAGGTACTTCATCCTCTTCTCATTCTTCTTCAGACTCTATAGATACTACTAGCAGGCATGCTGATGTATATTTTGATTATGATGTTCCTACTGAGTATATATCAACAAAAATGAAAAACTTTGATCTTCTCTAATGGTGGCTATTTCATGAACGGCAATATACAATATTATCCATAATGATTGGTAATCTACTAACACACCTGGTATCCACTGTAGCTTTGAGATTGTGTCTAGTGCAAGGGTCACGGTTATATTGGTCAAGAGAAGCTGGTGGAAACAAAATATATTTGAGAACGCGCAAGGTGCAAAATATGAAATTCAAGATAAAAGAAATTGTATCGATATATATTGTTTTTTAATTTTTTAAAAGAAATTGTACAAAATTTATATTCGGTGTACAATTTTAACTATGCTAAAGTATCAATATGTAATAAGTCCCAAGCCCGATAAATGAGGGTTTATGCATTTTAATTTAATTTTTGAATTATTTTAAATAAAAAATCAATGTTTGACCATATTAAAAACACATCATTTTTTGACCACATCAAAAATCAATGTCTGATATCATTAAAAGAAAAAAAATTTAAAACATAAAAGGGCTTCCGAGCCATTCAGCTCGGCCCATTATGAGCTCAGCTCATGGGCCGAAGCTAAGCCCCATATTTGGCCACCGAGACGTGCTACCTACTCAACCGAGTTGTGTCGAGCCGAGCCGAGCCCTGAGCTAAGCAAGACTAACGGGCTTAGCTTGGCTTGTTTTCGTAACTTATGCAGCGTTTAGCAAAATTTATAAATGATCGGTCTTTATTTTCAACTATAAACTTTTATCTACTACTAAGTTCTTCCAAAACAATCTCCTTATATATAAATTTTCAAGTAGTGGCGGATCCAGCACTCGACGAGCCCCAACGGCCGTGAGTGCTGGATCCATCGGGAATATGTTTTTTTTTTTTTTGTTGACAATAGATAAATTGTTTAGATTATATAACTAATAATTCATTTTATTTTCAAATATCTCTTGNTTATATAACTGATAATTCATTTTATTTTCGAACATTTTATGTAGTTTTACTGGTTAGAACTTGCATATTCATATTGGAAGTCTCAATTTTGAATCCCTTCCCAATCAATTTATTGTGAAATATTTTTAGTTCTACAATTTTTACCAAAATTAATGCAATGAGGGGATTCAAACATGTGACCTCTATTAGGATTATTGAAAGCTTGACCATTAAGACGCTTGTTGAATTTTGACACTAAATTTAGTTTAATAATATATGTTACATGTTAGTTGTTTTAATACAATTGTAAAAATTTGATCTCATGCTCTTCCTTTGAATTATACAAAACTTGGCCTCAATATCATTTAGTGAATATTGCCAATTTGTATAACAGAATTATATATGTTCAGTTTGAACAAAATAGTTGCTATATTTAAATTTTAAACCTTGTTTGATTTTCCTTTTTTCTTCAAAATACATTTTTTTTCTCTTCTTTTCAACCACATTTTTCAGTAAAATAATATTACATGCATACTCAAAAAATTTCCTTATTTTAACAACACATTCTCCATCAAATCATTATTCCAAAGTGCTTTTTTTTTTTGTTGGCTAAAAAATGGGCATCAAATAGGGCTATTAATATTTTATTACTGACAATAGTCGATGGTCAACGACCACTCGTGTTGACTCAAAATTCTGGATCCGCCGCTTTTTTCAAGTATGGCTTATTGAAGAAAGTATTCCTTTAAAATATGTTGTTGTTTAAAAATTCAACAGCACAATTGTAATTAGTTAAACTATGATAAATGGGTATATTGAACTGACATGACTGAACAAGAAGTTTCACTTCTTACTTCAGATTGAAAGGAAAAACAAAAGATTTCATAGTAATAAAACAGTGCAACACGATTCATTTACCAACAAGAAACATGAAAATAAATCTAAGCAATCATCTTCAATTCTTCAGATGGTCGATAAATGTTTCGAAATTCTGAGAAGAAGATCCTGATCCACTTACACTCTCGAGAGCCATTTCCTTCAGTTTTATGGCATTCGTTTTAATACTATAGTCAGAAAGAAGCATTTCTATTTTAGTCGAAATTTCAAGCCTTGATCTGAGTCCATTCTCGTCTGGCTTGAGTCTCAAACCAATCTTCCACAAGTCACAAATGTAATTCTGGTTGTGGAATTGATCCGAAAAATAAGGCCAACATAGGAAAGGGACTCCCATGGTTAAACCCTCCACAGTCGAGTTCCATCCACAATGGCTTAAAAAACAGGCGACAGAAGAATGAGCTAATACTTTTTCCTGAGGTGCCCATTCGACAATTTTTGCACGTTTAGCCACTCTTTCCAGGAAACCATTTGGGTACTTGACACGATATCCATTGGCAATATTTGATCTAACGACCCATAGAAATGGCCGGCCTGAAAGTTCAAGAGCCAGTGCTAGTTCATTTAACTGGTCCTGAGAGAAAACAGCTATGCTGCCGAAAGAAACATAGATCACCGAGCCAATTGCTTGTTTATCTAGCCAGCTAAAACAAGTTGTATCCTCTAGCCAAAAGCTCCCTCCAGTGGCAGATGATTTCGACTTGTTAGTACTAAGCAATGGTCCAATAGGCAGAAAGTTGGGAATCAAATTACAAGCTGATGGTTCGAGTTCATAAAATGTATTGCAGAGCAGCCACTTAGCATGACGTGCTGTTTTTCCGGCAGCCATGAAAGTTTCAAACACTATCAATTGAGTCTTTGGGTCACCGGGGAAGCTCCATGAAAGTTCATTTTTTCTCCAGGTAGGTATATTATCTGACAGGTTGATCAATTCATTTTTCTCGACAGATCCTGCATGGAGAACAAATTGGACATTTATTGAATTTTTATAATTTTAACACGTCAGATTTATTTTCATTAAAGATATAGTATGTGCACAATTTTCATAAATGGATGACAGTGACACTTAAACCAATGCCTTTTGTTTGACTTAAAAAGTATAAACTGTTAGAGAGTAATAAGTAGAGAAATCAGAAAACAAACGATAAACAGAGAAGAAAATGATAAAAAGGAGCAAAGATAGAGCTTTACCATTTATATCAAGATTTCCTGATTGAATAAGCTTCGGAATTTGAAGTACCATAGCCATTCCTGCTGCTGCAGCAGATTGGAAGACTACTGATTCAGCTCCCAATTTCTGCGTGACATCAAGTATCCATCCAATTGTGATATCAGCTATTACACAAGTAATCTTTTCACCACTGCTTCGACCGTTAATTTTCTCTATCAAATTCATCAAATTTCCCGGCATCGTTCTTACAACACTTTCCATTAACTCGAATCCAGGACTTCTGTCATCATCAGGTGGCAATCCATCTGGTATCGAGATAAGTTGTATCGGGTTTTGCTTCTTATCCTCCTCAGACATTGCAGCAACAACTTTTGCATGTATGTATTCCGTGTTAACGAATGTAACCTTAATCCCTCGACTGGCAATTCGTAGACAGAATTTCATGAGTGGCCGGACATGTCCTTGAGCTGGAAACGGAACAGCCAATACGTGTGGTTGTCTCTTGCCCTTTACCGCCATTGCTTCTTGCGTATCTATTTCTGTTTCCCTGCAACTTATTAGCATACGAGTTACGAAAAAAGAGGACTCCATTATATAAGTAGTAATTCCCCATTTGTTGTTCTCTGATCATTGCAAATTAGTTTTTTAACAGTTTAAGACAAAATTCGCACATCATTACATCAATAATAATAGGACACATTCACACACGTGAGAAAAATATATAGTCTAACGAGTTTAAGACAAAATTCACACATGATTAGATTCTTAAATATTGGAACACATGAATAACATGTATACTTTAATGTTCTAGAGCAAAGAATTGTCCAAGTAGAGCAGCTTCATTTCTTTGTTAAATTTTTTTAAATAGATTAATGGAACGCATGAATAAAAACATGTGTATAGTTTAAGATGCTGTTGCAGTTTAAGTCCAACTTTACGTGCTAACATGAGCTTCATTTTTTTTTTTTTTTTTGAAACACGTGAATAAAATTCTTATATGAAAGACGTCGTTCGCTGGGGCTTGGGCAGTGCGACCCAAATTGATACCATGGCGTTGCACGTGGGTTTATTTGATTTTGTACGTTCTCTCGTTACATTTGATTTATATTGAAATAGCAAATATATATATAGATTCTTCCTTGGTTGATATAAAAACAATCTTGGATCGTCTCAAGTTGGAGATTCGATAAAATATTTTGATTGAAAAAGAATTCTATTATATGGTCGATGTAACAATAAAAGCATACCGAGTCTACACAGATAGATTTGCCAAACTTCACAGAGAATGGACTACATTTAACGTCCAACTTAAAGTTGGTTACACATTATTTTGCAAAATCAACTATGAAAGATTAAATGCATCCCTGGGGAGAAAATGGAAGAAAAGATGAATATGATGAGAAAACCTGTTTCTTTCAATCTGAAACTCAGCAATATCCCCCTCATCTTCTTCTTCTTCTTGAAAACCTAGCTTCGCTGTTGGTAAGGGAATCTAGAAAGAGAAATTAGTTTTGGGAAGTCATAATTCCCATTTTTTTTATTACTGAAATGGAAGCACAGTCTATATACAGATCATAAGGGTAAAAACGTTAAAAAAAACGTATGTGACTAATTCAGAACTAATTACCGACATTAACAAACTAAATGACTAATTAACTAACTAAATAATCCCTATATCCTCCCCTCAAGTGGGATCGCGGTGAAAATCAAGCAGTCCCAACTTCGAGATGATTTTGCTAAACTGTGGACCAAGAAGAGATTTCGTGAAGATGTCAGCTCGCTGATGATGCGTGGAGATGTGCTTAGGAACGATGAAGCCTTCTTTGTATTTGTTTCGAACAATGTGACAATCAATGTCCAAGTGTTTAGTGCGCTCGAGAAAGACGGGGTTAGCACTAATATGGAGAGCCGCCTCATTATCACACCAAAGAGAAATAGGAAGAAGAAAAGGGATCTGAATATCAGATAAAATGTACGATATCCACAATAGCTCACAAACAATAGTTGTCATAATTCGATATTCTGCCTCTGCTGAACTTCGTGAAACTATAGTTTGTTTCTTTGTCTTGCATGAGATAAGAGCTCCTCCTAAGAATATGCAGTAGCCCGTGAGAGACTTCCGTGTGTCGGGACAAGAAGCCTAATCAGCATCACAAAATGCTTCAATGTTAAATCCGTTTGTTACAGGATAGAATAGACCAGTAGATAATGTTCCTTTGATGTATTTAATGTCGTGAATTGCAGCATTCCAGTGAGCCAATGTTGGTGAATGTATATACTGTGATAATTGTTGTACACTGAAGGTGATGTTTGGCCTAGTTAAGGTGAGATTCAAAAGCCTTCCAACCATCCTTCTATACTTATCTGGATTGTCAAGTAATTTATCATTTCCTCCAATGAATTTCAGATCCTTTGGCAGAGGAGTGATGGTACTCTTTGCTCCTGACAGACCGGCATCAACAACCAAGTCAAGAGCGTATTTTTTTTTATTTACATGTCCCATCTTTAGCTCTTGCTATTTCTATGCCAAGAAAATACTTGCCATTCCCCAGATCTTTAATGGTGAATGCTGAATGAAGAGATGCCTTGAGATTCTATATTTCCTTTTCACAATTCCCTGTTACAAGTAGATCATCAACGTATATAAGTATAGCTACAAACAAGGAACCCTTGGTTAGAATATATAAACAATGGTCATGAGAAAATTGATGAAAACCATAGATTTCAAGATGTTTGCTCAATTCAGTGTTTCATTGTTTACTGGCCTATTTAAGGCCATAAAGAGATTTTTTAAGCTTGCAAATCTGCCCCTTTTCAGCTTTAGAATATCCTTCCGTTGGCCACATATACACTTCCTCCTCTAGGAACCCATGTAAGAAAGTCTTGTTGATATCTAGTTGGAAAATGGGCCACATCTTAGTAGTAGCAACTGTTAAAAAAATTCTAATTGTTACATGCTTTGCCATAGGTGAAAAACTTTCAAACTAGTCGACCCCTTCTACTTGATTGTACCCCTTAGCTACTAACCTAGCCTTACACCTATCTAATATCCCATCTGACCTCAGTTTTACTTTAAAGGCCCATTTACATCCAATTGGTTTCCTGTACAGGGCGAGGGAAACAAAATCTTGGGTATCACTTTTCTCTAGTGCATCAAGTTCAACATTCATCGTCTCAATCCATTCAGCTCTAGTACTAGCTTCCCTATAAGAACTAGGCTCCTGAACACTATAGACAGTAGCAAGAAAGTTAGTGTGATGGGAACTGAACTTTCGTGAAACATGGAAAGGAAATGTATTTGGGGTGTATTGTGAAGAATGTGGTGTGACTGCAGATTGAATACTAGGGTGAATATTATCACTGTGCCTGAAAATTGTCACAAAATCTTGAGGCCAATGGAGAGTGGTTCTTTGTCTATTGCTTCTTCTTGGGGTACTAGATGTGGTATTTTGATTCTGTGTCTGTATTTGGGTATCAATTTCATTACTAATCTCAGGTGTTAGACTGTAGTTATCCCTGGCAGTAGGTAGCTCAGTAATGGGGTGTTCAATAGTTGGTGGCTGAGAGTTTGGTTCCTCAACATGTGGAGCATTTTCTTGAATAGTGTGTTCTTGTCTTGGTGGTAAAGAGTTATTTTCATTGAATGTATTTTCATCAGTCTGATGCTCAGCAGCAGGTATGGGTAAGGGTGCTAACAAGATCATGTTTACAATGACTATTATATGGAAATATGTTTTCATGGAAGATCACATCCCTAAACACAAGAATTTGTCGACTATTAATGTCAAAAACCTTGTATCCCTTTTGTCCTGAACTAAAACCTAGTAGAATGCATTTGAAACTTTAAGGAGAGAACTCATGTTTAGAAGGAAATGTGTTGGTAGCATAGCACAAACAACCAAAAGTTCTTATATGATGATACGTGGGTGTTCTGTTATGCAACAATTCAAAAGGTGTTTTCCAATTCAAATAGACAAATAATCGAACAAGAAAACACAGTAAAGACAAGAGAATCTTATTAATCGTTGTCCTCAGAGAAACCACAAAAGATCAATGCTCCTTAGCCACTAAAAAACAACCACCAGTTCAAGTGAAATCATAACCAAGGTAAAAAATGACAGGAATTACAACACTCAGACTAAACCACTTATATCATAGTACTCACACAATTCTTAAATATAGATGTTCACACAAGATCGCAAAACTCTCACTAGTAGAAATCGCTCAAGATTACAATATTGTGAGAGCAATGAAAATCAAAAGATAGTTTTGAATTTCAGAGAGAAAATGAGAGTAGAAAGAACTCGATCGACACAGAGAGGGTTTGTTTGCAAATATCAAAAGCCAAAATACACAGTTGAAACCCTAGGAAGCCTTTTATATGAGTCACCCAAAGGTCTTCAACCAACGATCATGGAGATGACACTTGGCGACATCATGAGCTTCCATTCAAACAGGTAAATTAAAACACGGCTTTCTTCAAATTTCCAAAAAAAATGACTTTGCCCCAAGAATCAATCAATTGGTCAACAATCCAGCTTTAAGGGTTGTTTGGCATCATTGTGTCAATCCTTTCAATCTCCACCTTGGTACAATGATTCATATTCATCAGTGGTTATTCCCCTTTCTAGATATTATCATCACACCTTACCAGATCCACAGATCAACAAATAGTAATGTACATCAGAGTTAAGCAATTCAGGAACTTGTTTAGAGGTAACACTTTGATACCTACATCAGTAGGGTTAAAATTAGTAGATATCTTTTCAAGTATCACAACTCACTGTGAAATAATATCCCTTATAAAGTGAAATCTAATATCAACATGTTTAAATCTATTATGTAAAATAGGTTTTCTACTTAGATGAATAGCATATTGACTATTTGAATAAAGAACAACTTCTTTAGCAAAACCAAATTCATTTAATAACTCTTTTAACCAAATTCTCTCTTTAATTGCATCTGTGGCAGCAATGGATTCAGCCTCAGTTGAAGATAACGCCACAATCTTTTCAAGCTAGGATTTCCAGCTTATACGGGGAATTACACAAAGTATACATATAAGCTGAGGTTGACTTCATGTTATCCCTATCACCTACGTAGTCAGAATTAGTAAATCCTTTCAAAACAACACCTTTAGGTTGTTTCCTAAATTTAATCCCCAAGTCTAAAGTACCCTTAAGATACAGAGCTGGACTTATCATTTATTACCATTTAGATTATGTGATGAGGTAGTTAGGATTTTAGATTTCACTTAGGTTATTTATCACACATTTAATTTCAATTTATTCAGTCATTTTTCATACGTGTCAACGATCGAATTAACCTATTGTATTTAGTGATCTCTCTCGAGCAACACTAATCCTATTCTTATGCCCGAACTTACTATATCTCTATAATTAACCTAATATAGCTAGTGATCTCTCTCGAGCAAAACTAGTCTTATTCATATGCCCGAACTTACTATATTTTTAAGTAAATTCACACACATATAAACGCATTTATCTATAGGAATTCAACAAAGATCGCATAGATTATAATTATCTCTCGATTTCTTATAATGTCTATGTAAATTATTGTACAAGTTAGAATTATACAGCACCTCTTGATCTCAATATTATCCTTAAATCAATTAATTATTGCATAGACAATTAAATCATTAAACACACAATAATTAATTAGCAAATATTAAAATGGCACAAAAATCTTGAAATTAAACATATAATAAAAACCTAAGCTACATCATCAATTCTAACATAAAAATCTTTAACCACTCATAATGTTGAATTTAAACATGGAAAAGTGGAAAGAAATCACCAAAAATTGATGGAACGTGAAATTTTTTTACTAAAATTGAAGTTGCTTTTTTCTGCACTTCCTTTCTCTTCCA